CCGCACCGGACAGAAAGGATGAAAAGATGCTTCTTCTTCTGATCTGTGGGGGGGAGGGAAAAAACCCCTCCAACGATATCACTCTTGATTTAAAAGAGCTCGTGATGTTTTAGGCATAAAAGCTGGGTTTGGTCTTAAATCAGCTGAACTACCGTCAGCCTGGATTCTGAGACATGACGGAGCGGCAGAGAAGGCAGATAAAAACACTCACTCTCTTAGCGGGTGTTAAAGCCAGCAGCAGTGCTGTTTAAAGAGACAAGAATTTAAGTGGAACCTGATTCAAAGGCTCAAATGAAGCTTTGATCATGACCTGCAGGACCAGTATTAAATCCCACTGGAAAACAAGTGGGTGTGGGACAGACCTGCGTCTCTGTGCACCTTTTAGAAAACGTTTCATCAGAGGATGATAAAACCTGTTCTGTCTCAGAAACCTTCATGTCAAGAAGAGATGGCTGCAGCGTACGTTTTAAACGTGCTGGATGCAGATTTCTATCCATCAGCTGCTGCAGAAGGAACAGCATGCCACCTAAAGAACATGAGGAGGCCTCTACATCCTTCTCTGTACATCAGCACTGAAAAGCTGTCCGCTTTGATGTGTACATCGCTGTGGTAGATGCAACACGTGAAACCTGAATTGTGCGCATTACATCCTGTGGGCAACCCATCCTCTGTAAGTGGATTCGTTCAACGGCCAGACCACAGGTGCTGGCCTATTTCTGGGTAACTCCTGGTCGCTCCTCCTGCCTGGAAGGAGAGCGTCCTCCCTCTATGGCAGTTCCCACGGGCACTCCGACAACAGGCGTTTCAGGACTGGAAACCATGGTGCACCCACGCGCTCGGGGCCACCAGGAGAGCTGCCAATCCCTTCTCCTGAGCTCGGTTCAAAGACCGTAAGATCAGAGGAGGCGGAGAAAAAACGCGTACAGGAGCATTTTGGGCCATGGACTGTGGACAAACGTATCCACCTCCCAGCGGTGGTTCGTCTCATGGACTTAGAGAAGCGCATAATTGACACTGAACGTTTCCTGTGTCACAACAGGCCCACAGCCGCTATATCAATCTGAGACAAAATGCTCCGTCAGAGGATGATTAAAGGTTGTTCTGTCACCGACAACTTTGAGACAAAAGAAAGAAAAAAAAAAACACGGTTGCAGCATACAATAGTCGTGCTGGACACCAGATTCTGTCCTTCGGCTGCTGCAGAAAGACAGCATGTCGACCAGTGGACATGAAGTGGCCTCTACGCCTTTCTGTACAGCAGCGTTGGAAAACTGACCACTTGATGTGAACAACGCTGTGGTGGTTGCAGCACGAGACTCCTGAATCGTACGCACTACATCTTGCGAGAGATCCATCCTCTCAAAGATCTGCATTACGACCACAGGCTGTGAGCAGGCACGTCCACCCAGCGGTGGATCGTCCTATGGCTCCACGCTAATTATAATTGACATTGAGCGTTCTCTCGTGTTGCTACACGTCCGCAGACGCTGGCAGGATTCTACCGTGTCTGAGTCCTAGGTCTGGGTGGAATACCTGAGATGTACCCACTCCAATAGAGAACAGATTGAATGTGCCCCACACAGCATCTGTCTCATAATGTGGCACATGGATTGAAAAAATGCATACATTTCCTGCTAGTATGTGTGCAACAGTCACTTGCTGTCTGAGAATCACAAACTCTGATGATTCTGCAGCTCAAGGTCAGTGTTGAGTCACATTCAAGACCCCGTGCGACACTCCAAAACATTTAAAAGGCTGCTGTGTGGGGAGCCACAGCGCCCCACAGTTTGTTAAATGTGTGTGACGTAGATCTGCTGACGGAAAACAGCTGCTATCATTCAACCGATTCACGTGAGTTGCACTGCTGCCCCCTGTCTGTACGAGCTGCTCAACGGCAGGTGTCCAGATAACGCAGAATTAAAGCGGCTCAGGCGCATAATGGAGTGTTGTTTCTCACAGCTCAGAAAATTGACAATCAAGAATAAATCTCATCTTTCCGGCTCATTGGGACCAGGAAGTGATGAGAGAGACCTTGTGTTTCCTCTCCATCTGAGATTCTAGAAATTACATTTCAAAAAATAAATTCCTGATCTTCTACTAGAGGGGACGAGATCTGTTCATAGATGACAGAAAAAACGTCACAGAGTTCCTCCACACCGGGGTTTGAGCTGAACTGCAGCGTGAATCCCGGTTGAAAACGATTCGCCCATCCGTCTGGAGGCGCGCGTTCATTGCCACCCGTTATAAGCTATAAAGCGGGCACGCATTTATGCTGTGAAAAACTCACATACATGCTGATGTGAACTGGAGCGCGCTGATGGTCACGTTGTGTGCAGCTGCTCTGTGTAACGCTCAGAAGCGGATGCACATATGAGCCGACGCGCCCTGAGGGTCGTGTGTGTGCGTCCTCACGTGACGCTTTAAGCCAGGATTGCCGCGGGGGCACACGTTGGCACTGGTGCGGTAAGGAGGCACCGCGCGCCATCGGTGGAGCGGGGTTACCACTGGCCCGGTCTGCAGAAAACCGTTCATCGTTTGCTGCGGGTCACGTGCACTTTTGAGTGATACCACGAGCTGCAATATTAATTCAGACAAAACCCCTTCTTCGAGGATGTATGAACTGAGCCGCTGAAGGCTTGTGGGGCTGCTGACGCCGCGGGAGCGCGCGTTGGCACTGGAGCGGTCAGGAAGCAGCGCGCGGCATCGGTGAAGCGAGGCTACCCCTGGCTCGGTCTGCAGAAAAAAACGTTCATTCTTGGCTGCAAGTCACGTGAACTTCAGAATGATTCCATGCGCTGCAGTATTAATTCAGAAAACCTTCTTCGAGGATAAAGAAGCAGAGCCGCTGTGAGGCTTGTGAAACTGCTAACGCTGCGGGAGCGCGCGTTGACACCGCTGCAATGACAAAATGTGTGTCGCTTCTGCCGGGAGCGAGATACGTTGCTGAGCTCGTACCGTGGTCTCACGTGAACGTTGACGTGAACAGCGGGCACTGAGAGCTACATGTGCGCTTTCATGCCGCGGGGGCGCGCATCGGCACCGCTGACAGTGAATGAAAAAACAACCTTAAAAGGCTCATTCGTGCTGAGTGTGTGTGATGGAGCCGCTTGTCAGATAAACCATGCTGACAGCCTGGCTAGGAGACACTTCATCAAAAATGATGTTATTTCACAGTGTCATCAACACACCTCCAGCGACCCGACACCTGATTACCTTCCGTTGAGCTCTGTTTGTTGTCCTGGAGGGCCCCCTGTTGGCAAAGTCCGGGAAAAAAATAAACTGCCGGCTGCCGGGGACATCTGACAGGAGGGGCTGGCGTAGCAGAGCTGGGGGAGGCGTTGAGCAGCCGTGGAGCAGCTGTGGAGCAGCTGTGGAGCATCTTGAAGTGTTCTCTAGCTGATGAAAAGAGGATCACCAACGGACTCCTGCATTTCTCCTGAGAGGAAGGCGGAGTGACGGGCCAGGAGAGCTTCTGGGACCCCGTTCTCCGGCTGCGATGCGGGGCGGCAGACAGCAAAAGAGGCGCACCGGTTGAGGATGACGTCAGCTGACCTGTAGACTGAGCGTACTGCAGGGGGCTGGCAGCGTAGTTAGCAGCGGCCGCTGCGAGAGCGGAGTGAGCCGAAGGACAGAGGGCCACCGTCTCTTCTCGCCTCTGAACGTGTATGCCAACAGCGTAACGTGTTGTTCGCTGCGGCCGTGTGGAACACATGCTGGTGAGCTCAGTTGGAGAGCGGTGTCACCGTCTCGGTTATGCTAACTGGAGGCACGGGACGCTGGTCCATCTCGAACATCTTACTCCAATGAAGCCTCCATCAGGCTCGGCTCCAGAGGGCACGGAGGGACTTTCCGCTCAGTGAACCCCTGCTCTGGAGATGGGTGCGGACTGTGGAGACCGGCTCCCCCAATCTACCAGGAAAGAACCCGTCTGTGGCCTCGCCTGTAGGACGTCCTGTTGGGAGCACGAGGCCATACGGATCAAGACGGTGAGCCAGAATGGAGCCCAGTAAACAACCTTCCCGCCGGATCATCCGAACTGGCGGGAAAGGCGTAGGACGTAAAAAAGGGTCCTTTCATGTCAGCCTCCTCCTGGGTTACGCCGGGCAACCACTGAGGGCGCCATCGGATGGGAGCGGTGTGATCGCCGATGCGAAAACGAGGTGGGATGGGGTGAGCATACACTCAGCCCCCCTCCACCGACACTACGCTCCCCAGGAGGGAATGAGCAGCGGGGGTTGCAGCTGAGCGCGCCTGTCCCGGAGGAACCATCCGATTCGCTCCGAGGGTCGGCGATAAGAGGAAAAAATACAAGATGGCGTTGTCCAGCGTGTAGTGACCTGTCACTGGGAAATATTCCTCGGCGCTTACCTTGGAATAGGACTGCTCGTCATCTTCACCTCGGGGAGGAAAACTCACCGGACGACCGGAGGTCGACTGCCGGGCCAAGCATCCTTAACAAAGGTTGGTCATCTACACAATTTTCCTTCTTTGTTCTTCTGACAGTGCTATTTTAGCTCGCTGAAGAAAAAATGGGAGCCGATTTCCCGCTCTTAACGTAATTTATACGGACCGGGTGTGGCCCACACAGCAGGTGGGCGTGGACTAAATTTTTTCAGCGCTTATGCTGCGCATAACGGGATAAACCCACTAAAGCGAAGGCCTTAAAGGGCGAAGCTTATACGACATAGAACTGCTTGGAATAGAAAAATACCAAAGTTAAAAAATAAAACACAATTTGTACTGTAATGTATAACATAATTTTATTCTTGTTAGAATTAATAGTAATTACAAAATTGGTACCGAAAAAAGAACCGTCCAGGAAGCGACACCGAAGTGAAGGTACCGACACAGATTTTTTTAGAAAGGTACCCAGCCCTACATCCAGAGGACCTGACTTAACTTTGTTGAAAATTTAAAAACAATTTTTTCTTGTTTTACATCGATCAGTCAAGTCCAACACAGTTCTAATAGCTTTGTGAGCACGTCTAAAAACCACAAACCTTGATGATATTCTGCAGGACTTTTTCACTGATGACAGCTTTGTGGCAGGCTGTTTTTTGGTACAGGTCCACCAGCACCTCCAAGGAGCGCTCAGCAAAGGGCACGTAGTTTAAGGCAACCCACTCTGCCTGCAAGAACGAGAAGAGTGAACAGAAATTCACACTTGAACAATGTTTCACCTACAGCTTTACAAAGCCATACAAAAACAACAATTTAAAGGCACACTTCCAAAAAAAGTTTATATTAGGCTATTAGTTTCCTTCAAGCGTATTTACAGTATACTGGGCCTTTTCCACAGCTCCTCTTCAGCCCGGTTCGGCTCAGTTCGGTATGGTTTTGAGAACTTTTCCACTCATTTTTTCGCGGAACCGGCCTCTTTTTTGGTCCCTTCTTCTCAAGGGAACAACCGAGCCGAGCCAGCACATAAACGTGATGTCAGAACACTGTCGGTCACTGATTGGTCAGGGGGAGGAGTCACTGGATCTTTCAGAAACTTTTCAAAACATTGATCCTCCGTTTACTCGGAACTCGGCGCAGCGGCTGGATCTATTTTTAAGATTCTAAAAACAATAATGACAACACCGTGGTCTAATGCTTAAGTGCAGGTGTTTTTTGTGCTTGGTGACCAACGACAAAATTCAGAGCGAGCTAGATGGAGCTCTGCCGGTCTCCCCGGTCCTCCACCGGAGCTTCGGAGCACGCTCAGGCCGTGTAGGGCATCATCTCCCTGGCTCAGAGCTCCGCCGGTCACTGCGGAAGATCCTCCATGCTGTCAGCTCGGGCTCCGGATCCCGGCTTTGCGAGCTCCGAGCTCTGCTGGTCATCGAGCAGGATCATACGAGCTGCTGACTCGCAGAAGGCCGGGGTCCAGACAGCGGACTCGTGTGATCATGAAGGCCGAACCCCGATCCCGGCAGATGGGCAGACCGGGACAGAGGATGGAAACAATTTTTAAAAACATTTTATGTATTAAAAAAACATGTTTGTTTTTTTAAATCAGTGAAGATTAAAAATAATAAATAAACGGTGCTGGCTTTATCATGAAATCCTGTTATCACTTTAATGACTTTATTAAATAATCTGTTAAAGTTAACTCAGCTGAAAAATCATAAAAAAACAAAATTATTGGATCTCTCAGGATTATTTCCCTCAAAAATGTTTAAAGAAGAGACACAGCCTTTATCTAAAAAAGTTAAATCTGGTCCTCTGGACATTAAAAAAAAAACAAAACAAAGCAAATCAACAAAAAAATGTAGAAACGTTTCGTCTCTCATCCGAGAGACTTCCTCAGTCTGAGGTGCTGTATTCAGCTCAGTCTCTTAAATACCACCTTCTCAGAGTGGATCAACCAGTTTTGCTGCTGACAACCAAAACCAGCTGATCACATGATCAAGAAGGACCATCAGCCTAACAATGGATCATTAGCACACTGATGGCTGTTTACTATTCACAGAGGGCTGAGTGATACTAGCAATCACAGCATTGTAAGAGGGGGACAGTTGAACACGGAGGCCTCCACCCCTGTTTAACGATGGACGGTTTCTTTTCACAAAGATGGCCTCCTTTACTCCTCTCTCAAACCATCGTTCCTCTCTGTCCAGGATGTGCACATCTTCATCCCTGAAAGAGTGACCGCTGGCCTGGAGATGAGTGTAGACCGCAGAGTCCTGGCCTGATGATGTTGATCTTCTGTGCTGGTCCATCCTTTTGGCCAGTGGCTGTTTTGTTTCCCCGATGTAAGACTGATCACCCTCCTGACACTGAACAACATACACAACATTACTCTGTTTGTGCCGGGGGACTGGATCTTTGGGATGAACCGGTCTTTGCCGTAATGTATTTTGGGGTTTAAAAGCCACTGGGACGTTATGTTTAGAAAATAAACGTCTCAGTTTCTCTGATAC